TGAGCCCGCCGGGCGGGCCTGGCCTGTGTGAGCTGCTCCCGCTCTTCGCGCCCTCCCTGCCCTTGGTGTGCGCTGGTCAGAACACCTCTCGTTTGTGCGTTCGCGTGTGCGTGGCGGGAGGCAGAGGCCCGTGTCGCAGCGTGGTGCCTGTCAGGTGTATGTTGAGCCAGAACAGCGTCATAAGATAGCGTGGACATAGGTGGTTAGGTGTATTAAGTTAATGTTTATGCTTTCCGTGCAGACCACTGGACTTGTAGGATTGGCTGTGGCTGAAAACCCTCGTGAGGTACGTCATGTGTCGTTCGGCATGTAGTGGAAATTGTCAACGAGACCGGAGCTTTTCGTTATGTATTTGCTTGTGTAGGTACGTTGTGTGCCTTAAAGCAGTGCCAGCTTCATGGAAGTGTGAAAATGTTCCAGAGCGATAAAGGCAGAAAATTGATTCTTAAAGGCTTAACGCATACCATTAGTTACTTGCACGTGTACATTTTGTTGCATGTGCTGATTTCAAAAACCTGCTTTGTGTAAATACTTTCATAAACTAGTACTTGATTTCTTTCATTTTCAGTACAAAAGCGAAGAATTCTTTAAATTCAGTTCTTCATAAATGTGATGTCTGTCTCGCAGGCATACAGGTTTTTGCTGCCTTGCTATGCTGTGTTTCCAACAAGTACTGCACTAGCATACCTATGCTAAGGGGATGGGCTAGTCTGATGTGACGGAGGCTAACCATGTGGTGCAGAGCCGCATCGAGGCCCTGTGATGGCAAGCCCTGTTGAGACTGGAATACTTCAGTGGTTCTTGGGAGCCACATTAGGTGGTTCTTCTAGCAAGGTGGTACTTTCTATTTGCCTCCTCAGGCTTAGTAATGAAAGTGTGTTTGCCACATCTTGCTTATTCAGGAGGCATGAGCTTTGAAAGGACTTCAGTAATTCCTCTATGTCTCCGCTTTCAAATTTCCCATTATGCAACGATTTTATTTCAGAAATGCTTTTGCCACCAATAGGTAGAAATACTGTCAAAAAGAATCGTTATTGTTCTGTACGAGTGATTCTAGCTCAGCCTACGGTCTTGTCAGACACCTGGGTGAACCTGCTAAACTTTATTTTTTTCGGTGACTTAAAGCCAAGAGTAAAGGAATCACCATGCTTTAGTCGAAGTACTGATTCTATGCCAGTCCCCTTCACGCTTCCTGTTTTTTCTTCTCTGTTTTTCTTTGACTGCAGTATTCTGCTTCTGTTTCTTAATGCTCCTATAGGACATCCATTCCTCTTGGTTGGATACAGCCAGCCAGCCAGCACGTGGCTCAAAAGGTGCAATTTCTTCACCCCAGTGTGTCCTTTATCACTGCATTTAAATACAGCAATAACAGTTAGTTTCAGGTTCTAGTTTGTCTGTCACTCAGAACTTTGCACCAGCATGAGGAGAAGTGCCAAACCAAAAATAATCTCATTATGCTTTGGTAACTTATGTGCTTCTTTATGTCTTTCCCAGGTAACTTTTCAGAAATGGATGGTTTAGACATGAATTTGCCTCATTTTTTTAAAAGTATGTTTAGTATTAGAAACACAGTTTTTATTGTTTCCATTTTGCATCAAATGTACTTCAGGTTGCAACTATTTTTTTTTAATTTTTTTTTTCCTTTGAGGAATCTGGCAGTGGTAGCTTCCCAGTCCTGATAAATCTCAGTCTTACCCAAGACAGAGTTCTGGGGTTCAGACTTAGTTATTTTGTTAATCCTACGTTTCTGGATTGAATACTGTAACCCTCTATATTTTGTGTATAGAAGGTTAGTGAGTTAAGTAGGAGAAGCAGTTAAGTAATTCTAGTTGTGTATTTTAACCGTGTCTTGTGATCGCTTCAGCGCCTGCGAATACTGTACACAAAAATCCTTGGTGTGCTGCAGAACATTCCCGAAGATGCAGCGTATAGGAAATACACGGAGCAGATTGTAAATCAACGATTTAATTTGGTGCAAACAGTAAGTACGGTGCTATTTCATAAATGTTACATGTGAAAAGATTTTTAGGATGAGAAGGATCATTTTCCAAATGACTGGCTGTTTTTCTGGAGTGTGTGTAACTGTCAGGTGTCAATTCAGAAAACATTGAAATCTTGAGGTTTATTTTTGGTATTGACTGGAATAATTTGGTGGCATATTAAAAAAAAATTGTTAATTTCTTACTGATGTTTTCAGTGAAAATTAGAAGAAAACATTGGTTTTTTGAAGATTCGTAGAACAGTGGTAATTTCCACTTGCACAAAAAATGCACGTGCTCTTACCAGTGTAGTATCTTAGCACAGTCCTGGCCTTTTGACATTTTAAACCACTTTGTGGTACATTAAACTATGCCGTGCTGGTATCGTGTGTTTAAGGCAGTAATTGGAAGGTTGCATATCGTTTTATAAAAAGCTGAGATCAACGTTTTCTTTCAAGATACATACTGAAGCCCTTAGCTGCTAATGCTTCTTTGGATGTCATTAAATGGTGCTCGTTTTTTGTATTTATCATGGATAATTTGATGTTTGTTTTCCAATAAGAAAAGTATGTGAGATTTCTTTGATGATGTCAAATGACAGAAGCCAGCTAATTTGATGGTAGTTTTGAGGAGAGTGCGATCTGGTTAAATGATTGTTTTCATTGTTCATTTGGGCTTTCTACTTCTCAGTAAAGCAAAACATTTGTTTATATGTATTTGAATACACAGGAGAGTGATGTGCAAAAACTACAGGACAAACTGAATAGTGGTCACATAGAAGAAGTCATTCTACAGGTAAAGCGGGGAAATTTAAGGTTAGATACAAAAGGGAGCAGTGGTTTTCAGTGTTCCTTTGGCTGAGCCTCTGTTCAGAAAAACGGCAGTTTTGCATGTCTTCCTTTGCTGCAAAACAAACAGTCAAATAGGGAAAAAAAATCTGAAAGTGGATTGTCATGTAGTGATGACCATACTGAAACTTCACACAATTGACATGTTTATTGCATTCTGCTTACATCCCTGCCTTGTGTACCAGCCTTGCCTCTTACAGAGTCTGAGTGAGTGGAAAGGGCAGAGGATTGTTGAATAATAATGGGGAATAATCCAAAGAGAGTGGAAAATACCATGAAGTTGTCACTGGGAATGACTGGGTGAACAGACTGCCTGTTTGGGTCTTTGGGGGTGATTCAATCTTATGTTTTCTAAAAACAAAAACCAGAACCTCCAAAACACGCAGTTCCTCTCGACATTTATAGATGAAATTTGTGGTAGTGACAGTGATAGGTAATGATATCACTGAGATAATGAACTGAAATAGAGGTAATTTAATACTTTGGCAATTGCATAGAATTTAAGAATTTGTGTATGGTGTTTATTAACAGGCTGAAAATGAGCTTTCCCTGGCAAGAAAAATGATACGGTGGAAACCTTGGGAGCCTCTAGTTGAAGAACCTCCTTCTGACCAGTGGAGATGGCCAATATAATGTTCAAAATGGTGTAACCGCTTGAGAGTCAAAAAAAGTTAATTATTAATCTATTGTTACTGACAGTTGTCTTTAAAGATAATAACGTCATAAAACCATGTTTTGTCCTAATGTCCACTTGTATGTAGCAATCTAAAGACTGCTTCTGGTTTTTGGCAAAAAAACAGTTTTAAGAATTTTTTTTCAGCTGTTGTACCACCTTTGGTTTATTTCCTTTTGTAGTATTATTGACAGGGTATTTGTGCCTCATTCTGAGTTATTTGCATAGTCTGTATTTGTATGTTGACAAATACAGATGCTATAGGCCATTTGAAATCTAAATCAAAGCTGTAGAAAAGCGTGATTCTGCCCTTCTCTCCCACTTCTGGTTGTGTATTTTTGCCAGCCACCGATAGGGTCTCTATGACCATGCAGATACTGAGATCGGGGATCTGACGTAATGAAAACGAGCCTTACTGAAAATAACAGGTTTTTTAGATTTCTGCTGAATCATTGTCTTGAACTGGCTGACTTCAGTGCCCACATAATTCTGGCTAATTCTGGCTCAAGGGAAGCGCTGGGAAGACCCAGGGTGGGAGGGGTGAGGGGGAGAAGGAGAAGGAAGATGACCCCGTCAGGTGAGAGCAGGAGCAGGTTTCCCGGTGAGCGGGTAGGTTGCCATACTTGGCATCGTACACGTGACAGAGTCTTTAGTATTGGGGCCTTACAAGGGCTTTGTCTATAAAGAGGTGTACTTGTTAGGCTGGTTTGGGTAGTGCTGATTCAGACCTTGAATATGACTTAGTAATGTGAAAAAAAAATAGCAGCTTGCTCTGGGCACACCTGTCTGGGTTTTCTCAAAGATCTGAATGGAAGCAGCGCTTGCCTCTTCTGAAAGTGCTGTTTGGAGATTGAGGCTTAGAAGCTTTCAGTATCATTCATAAAGTTCTTGGAAGTTTAAAGAGAAGAATACAGCTGGGTGACAAAAATCTGCAGTTTGCGAAACGTTTATGATGGGGTGCGAGTGCACTATGTCATGTAACGTACTTTGTCACAGCTGTGTTTTGTAGTCATTGGGCCTATAAGGTCACCTGTGACATCATTATGAGTAATGATTAATTAAATCTTTATATAACATTTCATACAATCAAGGTATTAGGCGAGTAGGATGGTAGAAGAGAAAAACGTTATGTGTACCTGGGGCATTGACTCTAGCAACTATTTTCACTGCCTTCTTTGGCATTGTTGTTTTTCAAGTATTATTACTGTAATTACAGAAACTTAGATTTTGAAAATTGAAAAAGTTGCTTTGTTGGTGTGTTTTGAAGGCTTTTTCAGTCTTGAAAAAGGCAGAAGCTGGTCTCATCTGAGATAAAACCACTAGGTGGCATTCCAGAAGAGGACTTTGCTAAAGTTAACAAACACTACTTTCACATGAGAAATATTAAAGGATTACAGACTTGAATGAGGGCAAATGATGTCAGATGAGAAATGAAGATGAATGGTTTTAGGTAATAAGTATTGAGCTGATGTGAGAGGAAGCAAAATAATAAAGAAAAAACCTCAAAGTCTGGTATGAGTGATGCTGGCATGCAGTGCTTGGGGCAGGGGTGAAAGTTGCCAGAATGTGGTGACAACTATTGAATTCCTTCTGTTCTTTCATAACTGAGACGTTGGCTGAACTCTTTCTACTCGGTTATTTTCTCCATGTGTCCATGTCTAAAGCTGTGTTTGTCTAGTGTCTCCATGTCTAAAGCACGTGACTTGCAATAGCTCTCCTATAAGCTCATGAGGTGTGTTGCAGGGGAGAAGTCGTCTCTTTTCTTGGCCCATCGCTGCGGAAATTTGGCATCTGGTCTTCTAAAACTGAGCTGCGCTGATCAAAAGTACTTGCATCTTCTTCCTTTCACAAATGCACAAATACCTCCTCAGTACAGACCCCAATATAAGTTGTTACTACCTGGGGGGGATTTTTTTAGAGCTGTATTCCCTAATTTATATCCTCAGCGATTTTTCTGGTCTATGAGTGTTTCTTTCATGTGACTCAAGATAGGATCGTTTTCTAAATCCTCTATCCAAAACACTGGATTAGCCTTCACAAATGCTTTAATTTAGGAATCAATTAACTTGAGTCTTAAAAAGGTTCTACTGAAGCCAACTCGAGGAATCATCAATAAGGATTTTTCAGCTTTCTGAGCTTTTTATCAAATTCTCAGAATGTTATTTATTTTCATTATTTTATCATTGATTAAATTTGGTTTCATTATCTTATCATAAATTAATCATCTGTGCTGTGTAAGATTGCTAAATTAATTAGTATTATGATGGAGCGTCAACTTTAAACTGCAGTTATTGAGAACAAAGGGAGGAAAGACGATTGTGATTTTGAGATGTAACGGTGTGTGCCTTCTGTACAGTGTTGTGTCGTTCACCTCATTCTTGTTCCTGGCTAATTTAAAAATACGTCTTTGCTGAGAAGAGAAACAGTAATTTTTACCTTGCTATTAACTCTGTAACTCTATATCTGGTATTTAAATACTGTAGCAACAAAACAGTACACACATTTTACAGGCAAGAGAGAATCTATCTTGGGAGAACTATTTGCAAATAATTTATTTTAAGATTAATATGCTAGCAAGGCATTATTTGGAGAATGGCTGTAAGGATTTTGCTTGATTTTTTTCCAACTATGTTGGACGTACATGCAAAAGTTTATTATTATCTGCTGTAATATGGTAAGGTAAATCACGACAAGCCTTAGAGTTAAAAAACTTTAGATCTTTAAAACACTTGGAGATTGTCTGAAGTCATTACCTGAGTGAAAATCACCCTATCTGCAAGGATGGGACCTAGTAGAGACAGAGCCTGTTAAACCAGAAAAACAACTTTTGGAGTGCCAGGTAGCAGCCCTTCCAAGTTTTTTGTTGTTCCTGAGGTGCTATTGGTGCCGCTTAACCTGTTCTGAGTGGCTGTGTTCTGGACAGGACACCACTTTAATCTTTGACATAATTTCTGATTGTGTTCAAACGGAGATGAGTGAAAGCTGCTTTTTTTTTTTTTTTTAATTTACAGCATATATGCGATTTCATTAGAAAAAAATGAAAAATCATCTTGCAAACCAAAAGTGAGTTTGACTGTTCAGTCGACTATCTAATAGTGGTAAAGTGGCACAAAATGACATTTCTATAGAGCTACTGCTGGCCCAATTTGACCCCGAGTTCAACTTCGATCTAGGTTTTAGAGAAAAAAAAGAGAATTAACAGCAGTAATGGGACACTTCTGCCCTTTTGATGAGAAGCGGACCCATGTTCACGTGCCTAACAATGTCTATGAAACATGGCAACAGTGACTGTGGCACACCGTTACCAAGTATGGATGTACTTTCAATGTCTGCTGAAACAATTTTTTTTTTTTCAGGGCTTTCCTGGAGCTGTGACACAAAGTGTGTATTTCACCTCTAAAACGGTTGTGTGGAGTGAGTGTAGCCTCAGTCTTCCTGTAGCGTGCTGAAACACTTGTGCAAGTTGTCTCAGAAATCACACATCAAATGCCAGGAAATTCAGTTTCGTGTGGTTTTAATTCTGGTGTGTCTTTAATTTCCGCCTGCCAGACTCAGTCCTCACAGCAGAGCCGCAGGCCTTCAGGTGAGAGCCCCGCTGGTGGGTTGAACACCTCATGCAGGTGAGGGCTGCCACAGCTGGGACGTGAGGGTCTGCAAAGTAAGGGTCACCAACACCCCAACGCACCTGCTGGTCACAATACCCAGGAACCGGGGTTGGGTATTAGCACACCGTCTGCTCCCATCTGCGGTATAAACGAGAAGGAAAACCGGTGCTTGCTTACATTAATGCCGCTATCAGCAGCGAAGAGTGGCTCTTCACCTTGCTGTGGCACAGGACACGGCTCTTGCCGGGAGCCAG